ACAGATTCTGGGGCAAATATAAAAGCTGACTTCTCTACTCAAAGATTTACATTCAGAAGCATCATCATTTTAACAGTGGAACAAGATTCTATCAGCAAAAAATAAAATATTTTGCCAATGGAAAACAGCAAGTGACTTTAAATAGTGCACAGCTTCCACTGAAATTCAACAGCAATTAGCTGCATGGGCCAAAGACTACTAGGCTTTTCAGAAACCTCTGAGCTTGAAGCTTCTAGTCTTTATTAACAACTCTACTTTCATCATTTTTACTAGCAGTGAACTGAAAATATTTTTCCATACTTTCTACTTCTTTTATCATGCTTTTTACCACATAAGGTATGCACAGAAACAGAAAAGATTAAAAACAAAATATTTTTTCTTAGATTCACAGAATTTTGTCATAAGGCAGTGTTTATTATTAGACTTATTTACATAACTATTTGTTCTTTTTTGTTCTGTGCTCATTAGTAAGAAGAATTGAGAAAATGTATTCAGTTTCTCTCATTTTACTACAATGTATGCATTCTATTAATGGAAAATCCAAGTAGTTTTGTTTTCCTTTTGATGGACTCCGTACTTTTCCATCACAACACCCACTATTTCAAAAAAAAAAAAAAAAGGCATCTCTTCTTTATTTTTCTCAGATGAGCAAGTTAAGTTTCATATATATAACATACATCATCAATTGTCAATTGATAAAGTTTGTGGAATACTTTCAATACTGCCTTGAAGAAACATGTTTTGTAAATATCAAGTGCTTCTTCAACAAGCATTTAATTATATTGTTTTCCAATGTGTAAATATAAATCAGAATGAGACCTGAAACCTGGAAGAAAGAAAGCAGATGAAATGATTTAGAATTAAAACTCTGGATCTAGATGTTTCTGCTTTGGTATATCAGAGGGATCGATCTTTGTTTTTTTTTTTTTTTTTTTTTTTTTTTTTCTGATTTTATTTTAATCTTTGAACAAGAACTGGAGTGGAATTTTGGCTGCTTGTTCTTTTCAGTTATTATTTTATTTATATTAATAGAAGTGGGTTAGGTATATAATAGAAAATAAAATGTCTTTCATGTTAAGAATTTTTAATGTAAGTAAAAAATACTCATGGAAAAGAAAACAATAATATGACAGAGTAGAAATCAACTACTTCTGTAGGGTAATATACAGGGTAGCTGTTGTTCTTACTGCCTGATTTTTAACAGCTCTTTGTAGAAAGAGCTAGAGTTGCAGGTCACAGGGGAAAAAAACAACAACAACAAAAAATCAAACAAACAAAAAAAGAGCTTTAAAGAAAGCTTAAAGTTGTAGATAGTAGATCTGAATGCTTTATCATAGATTAGCTAATACAATAAATCGTACAGTAGTTCTACCATCAGCTAATGACAGGATTAAGCATGATGGCCAGGATGGTTCTTTGACTCAAGAAGACCATAAGTCTTGGAATGATAGATCCTCACACACTCTGATTTTCCCAGTCATTCCATTGTATTCTACTAGAGACACAATACTAGGCTAAATAGGCCTTTGATTTCATGCTCTACAAACTGACATGGTCTTTGATTAACATCATATAGCGGGTTGTCACCATGTCTTGATTCTTCTACCATCCTCACTTTTCCTTGCACTCCCCACTGTGTAGCCAGTATCAGCAAAGAATATCACCTCACATGAGTTTTATCTAATATTGTTTCCTATGATGCTTGGATGTGAATGGCATTTGATAATCTCTGACTCCATTGTAAATTAAATTTAAATTAAATGCAGCTGTTTCTTTTAAAGTGAAAGACACATCTGTATTAAATATAACACAACTTCATCTGGCTTGGGCTGTCAACACTTCAGTAAGTGTCAGATGGAAGATTCATATGGTTTAGGTCTTGTCACTGACTGTCATCCATTTCCTAAAGCTTTTGAAGTCTTTTCAGAAAAGTGGGCAGGAATTGATTTAAGACATTTTAAAATAGTTAAATAATGACTTTCCTCTCCTCCCCCTGTGAAGTACATGGCTTGATGAATTTGGATAAAGTACTAAGGTTATCAATATACAGGTAGCATTTGTTTTTGATGGTGGCGTCTCATGAGCACTGGATTAACCAACAACAAAGGAGGCAGTTGGGAACAAGTCAGCCCCAAACTTACAACCACTCATGGGAAAGACCTTTTCTGGAAGTTGGCACATGGGTGTTGCAGCTGTGAAAGCTCAGCGTGTGAGTGGCTACAGGTGTTGGCTTTATTTCTTCTCCACATATATTTGTAGGAAAAGGGACTATAATGCCAGGGACAGGAGGAGGTTGTGCCAAGTTGTTATAGAAAAAGAAAATTGCTTGTGACATAATACAATCTGTATTGCTTGTATGACAGTTATATGGTGTTCTGGAGAATAGTGTTTATGAATAATAATGGGGGTTCTGGCAATGTTGGTGGTAACACTCAGTGGTGAGTCAAACAAAGGGCATTTTGTTTCACGTTCATATCTTTGGTAGTCAGGCATTTTGCAATTCAATAATCACAGTGTTTTCCTCTTCTAGTTTCAGTTAGAACAGTCTTGTGTGTTTGTTTCTCCTGGTTTAAGCAAGGTTATCTTACAGTTCTGAATTAAATGCTCTTAAAATTACTCATTAAAATGAGATTTATTAGGTGGGCAAAATTGACTTCATCTTTTGGGGAAGAAAAATAGTAGGATGAGAGAGGAGATCTGTCTAGAAGGATATTTTCCACAAACGTTTTATCAGAGGTGGCAGTAAGGGTTACTTGCTATCTCCATATTTTACTGATGAAGTGGTGCAGTCCACCAATTCAGTAGATTGAAATACTACCTTTTCTTCAGGAGAAAAATATATATTAATCTTTTAGCCAAATCTATTATCTTTCCTCTTGGAGAGTCACTTCAGCACTTTGAAATCTGGCCTTGAAATCCTTCAATTTTTGAACAAATTATCTCTGCTGTTGGAGTGATATCTCTTCTGAATCCCTGTCCTTACTAGTTCTTCTCTGCTTGCCTGCCTCTTGGCAAAAGGTGGTATGTGGTGTAAAATTCCAGGTGGCATGGGATCAGAGGAAACTGTGGAAAAGGGAGGTATCCATTGTCTAGCCTGTTGGTCCTTGTCACGGTGGTCCTGCAACAGAGCTGTGACAGACACTTGGCTTGTCTTCCCCTGGATCCTGAGATGAAAGATTTCACCAAAAGACAACCTATAATCCTTTCTTGTATCATTTTAGACCATTTCTCATTCTTTTTGGCCTACGTTGTTCACTTGGTATTTTAAAGTGAGAGATACTAGAAACAATCCCAAAATAACTAGTCAAAGTCATGTGACATGTACAGGAGATTATCTGGAGGACAATACAGTCTTCAGACAATTTGATGGAATTTGGATTCCTCAGCAGACCTTTCTCTTTTATTTACGGAAATAAGCAATATGAACCATGGAAAGCTGAGCAACTTTCCAATACAGAATTCCATTCAGGAACAAATATATTTCTTAAAGAAATCAAAGCCCTAGACCACAAAAAAAGGTAATTCTGCACACTAATAGCCCACCATTTGTCTATAAAGTAAATAAAATTTGCTTTTGCTTCTCGGACTGGATGGCATTTGACCTGCATACTTAACACGTCTGTTAAAGTAATTGTAAACAAAATAATTTAATATTATTAGGTTTTCTGCATTAATTTCAAGTCTATCTAGTTTTGTCTTTGAGAAGGACCTGTGTCTGATATTTCACAACAAGCAGCAGAGACAAGAAGCAAGTGGGGATTCATGTATGTATCGGCATTGGATTTTCTCCTCATCTTTCTCAGCTAAAATAGACTTACAGCTTGAAAAAGAATTTAGTGTCACTCCCAGATTGTTGAAACTGACAGCTCAGGAGATTCTTATTAATATTAAGTATATCCTTATAGTAAAAGGGTATCATTCTTACTGAGGACAAGTCTGAGTTGTTCAGTTAGTTTCCAGTCTACAGTTAGAATGTCATTAATGTCTAGCCCATTCTTGCAAAGCAGTGGCCCTTAGTATTTTTCATTAGAAATTTTCTGTATGTCTACAGAATTTCTTGGTATTCGCAAACTAAATCAGCTTAACTTGTGGAATTTCTCATGAAAGGCCTATATGTTTTAACTTATGGTTTGCTGCTTCAGACCTTTTTGATTTCTTACATGATTTCTCCTTAATACTAGTATACTTCCCAGGTGATCGTTTACCAAATTAGCTCTGTAATCCCTCCTTTTTCTCTTTTTGCTTGTGTACAAACCCTAACAATTTAGCACCCTGTCTTAGGGAAATTCTGCCCTCTCTCCACATACAAAATCTTCAACTCTTCAGTCCATCAGACTTCATTAACTAATTCACAAAAGTTTTTCCTGCTGAAATCTAGACTTGTACTTATAGGCCTGTCTTTATTTATTATTCTGTTTCATATAAACTAGGTCAACCTCTGGTTAACTCATGCAAGGTGTGGAAACAGATGTCACAAAAAAACCCTCGCTACAATAAAGGAGCAGCTCCTACATATTCTTATTTCTTTCCAGTTCAATGACCACCTGATGAAGGAAACAGGTTTATGCTGGCCCTACATATGATCTCTAGTCTCTATTGAGACAACCTGTCCTGCTCACCTCACTCAGGGTGGTGGGACATGGTGCCTGTAGGAGATGGCACTGCCTTGGCCAGTGTGATGGGCTTTGGCTTCCAGCACCAGGCTCCTGCTGCTAATTTGCACTTGCCATTCCCTATCAACATGTTACTGGTTGTTTCTCTTCTAATGTTTTTCTCTAGATCATTTGGAATCAACCAGTTTTCAACTATGTTTCATTTTATTACTTTAAGGTATGCCATGGTCTTTAATGTGTGCTAAGACTGTGTTGACTGCATTTTGATTAATGATATCAACACGTGTATATCAAACAAAACAAAAATGTATATCAAAACAGATTCCTACCAGCAAAGTTAAGATAATATGAGAGAAATAAGTACCGAGAAAAGACACTGACAGGTACTTCAGATTTTACATAGGTCAAGAAACTTTTAATTACACCATTAAAAATAAAATTAAATATCCTTTTCAAACCTGGTTATTTTTTGTGTAAGCTATCACATGCCAGAAAAGAAGTAGAATATAAGCCCACACATCTGTTATCATGGAGCTCTGTCAAAAGCTGTGATGATGCTAGTGAAGCACTCTGGAAGCAGAGGATGCACACACCTGCAGCAGTGTACTTGGGATCCCAGCCCCATAGGAGACCATGGCATGTGAGACTGCCCAGCAGTTTCACCTGTCCTACCAGTGCAAAACAGATGAATCATCAATGGGATTTGCAGGAATAAAATTTACTTATAGTACAACAGAGACACAATCTGTGCACTTGTTTTCTGTTTTGATCAATACCAGAGCTAACATTGTATGAATGTTTTTTAGATATATCTTTAGGTGTTATCCTATTAGATTACAGGATATATATGTCATTTTTAGATTATATACCTCAAGCATAACAGACACATTAGCAAATACACGACAGATAAAACAAAAATGGTAAGAACTGTGAAAATTTAAAATAAAATTGAATATGCATAACTAGCAATGTGGAAATCTGCAATATGAGATTAATAGAAGCACTTATTTTATCTCTTTGAAAGTTATAAAGAAAATATTATAAAAATTATATATATATGTATATAAAACATAAATAAAAAAATAATAATTTTGAGTCACTAATCTCATGGCCAGAAAGCTACCAAAAGCTTTTGTTGGTAGGGAGGTTATTACCACATCCTTTTAATATTTAAAAACACATCGAACAACCACTTTTTTTTCACAGCATTAAACCCAGAGGAACTCTATGGTAGCTGCTTTTGAGAAAACACATGAAGGTTAAGCCAAGGCTAATATGATGGTTTAAGAGGGCAGCTGTGCAGGCAAGAGTTCATCTCTCTGCTTATCTTGGCTTGGCAAAGTCTTTACATTTATAGGTTAAAACTAGCCTTATTCTTTTAATTCTGTCTCACAACAAACCTCTCCTAGTGATGTGAATCTCTAAGAGCGCCTAGAGAATTCAGCCTCCTGTAATTATTTAGACCTTTTATAGGGCCTTAAGATACATAACATGTTGCATCAAATAGATTTTTTTTGGCTTCCTGATGAAAATGAATATCTCTGTACATCCCTCTTGCTTCCTTCCAGCATTCCTCTGCCACAATTCTGGAGTAAAGTAGAGTCAGCTGTCACATATAAGAGCCAAGACATATCCAGGTTTTAGTAGAGAGGACTTAAAAGAAATCTACTGTTTGGAAGCAGAACTAGAAGTTTTGGTCTAGAATGGAAATATAGTACAGAGCACAATGATGCATTGCATTCTTTTCATATATATATTTTTGGAAAATCAGCAATGTTGCTGGGATATGGCCAGCGATATGTTACATAAAAGGCTATATGTTATGAATTATAACAGAGATGAGATACAGAATGTCTACTGGCAATGGAGTATATTATTACCACACAGAGCTTTATTGCAAAAATAAACTGCAGTTTTGATAGTGGATTCCTCATTCCTGGATGTATTGACTGTATTTATTTCACGGAAGAGATTAATGGAATATTTAAAGAGAGATTTTGCAGCCTTCATCCTTGTTGGTAGATGCTTTTGTCTTTCTGTCTTAGCTTGAAGCATCATGTGTCTTTCAGTGGAGCTACTTGACAGTTGACATTTTCTGCTTTTACTTCTACTCCAGCTGCTAATTGCATATTTACAATCCTTCAATCAAGAGGAAAAGAGAAACAGATTAGAAAAAATTTCAGTCTGTCAAGCAAACCATACATATAATGAAACATCCACTCATTAAACATAGAGAACTTTTACAGCTTTAATAATAAGTGTTATAAAGGGCACAAAGGTATTATTAATTCTGAAGGAATGCAGGACTGGAAAAACAATAAGTCATTTTGACAGTTGCTATGAAGACTATTACCAAATGTTATGTTTACTTGACTAGGTTCAATTTATAAAACAAGATCCATAAAAAATCCATAGCCTAATCAATTGAGACACCCTGTAACAAACCACAGCAAATGGAGTGAAGTTTGATATATTGATTAATGATTGAATTGTGATCATAGATTTAAAAAAAATAATAAGATAATTAATACTATGGGCTGCTTCTGTACATTAAATTAAACATTATGGTAATGAATTAAAATGATAGAATGAAGTTTTAACACCTTTTTTTTTTTTTCTAAGTTAAGGAAATGAATATATCTGAATGTGTGATTATCTTTCTAAAAGGAATTCACAAAGCTATGTTTATTATGCAAATATAGATAGATGCAGGAGCCACTTTTTTTTTACTTTGCTGTAATAACCGATTAACTTCATTCATACATTTCTCATGAAAATTATATTTGGGGGACATAAGAAATTCTGCTTTGTTTTTGAGTGAGCTGGTTGCAATCCTCAACATAATCAAGCAGGCTGACAGTATGTATGATTATATATGATATCACTCTGCAGGAGACAGTTCCAATATTGTATCTCCACTCTTCCATTCATTATTGGCAAACATGTGCCTGGAACTCATTGCAATGTTACAATTGGCATTTTGAAATACTGTGATTTCTTTTTCTTGTAGTCAGAACTTGGATTCCCCATAGGATTTAGGCAGACTGCATTGTGTTATTCAGTACATGTTCATGACTTCCACTAGTATTAGGAAGAGCTACATGTATACATTCAGAGTAGAATATATCCCGTAGTGAATTTCTGAAAATATAACATATAGTTACTTTAAAACATGAGGTTAACGAAATAGGAACTGAAAGACAAGGAACAGAAAACAAGCAATTTAAAAACCATTCACCCAGTAGGTATGATCTTATTCCCACTCACTCCACAGTAAATCATGAGTTACTTTAAAAAAATTCAATGCAAGTTGGCATACGGCTGGTAGGAAATCAACTCGAGCCTATCCTGCTCAAAAACCTGAAGCATGTTTATCATTTCAGAGCAGCCACTGCTCTGAAATATGAGATGTAATATATGCATTCAAATAATTTGTTAGGATACAAAATGTTCATTACAACACTATAACTGAGTGTGGCAGTGCAGTAGTCTGGGGCAAGCAAAAATGGCTAAGTGATGCTCAGGGTGCCATAACGGGACTCACAAGCTCAGTTTCCAGTCCTACCAAAATAGTGCTGGCCAGTCACTTTCATCTCAGAGACTCAGTCTCCATATACTTAAAACAGGGATACTGATACTTTAAGAGTTTTGATATCTACCAACAAAGAGCAGGGGGAATTATATCGATACAGTTTATCAGTTATATCAGTTGGACAGGGACAACAACTGGAGCACAGCCAGCTCCTGCAGAAGCACACGCTTCTAGTAATATCCCTTCAGGTCCAAAGCACCCACAACCACCACATATGCTACTTATACCTGTTTGCATGATGCTCTTCTCCATTTAAGAAATGGAATAAAATCTGCCTTCCTAACAGTACCTGGTCCCTCAACAGAGAAGGATTTAAGAAAGTATGTTCAACTGATCCTCCATGGGCAGCTGCAAGCTATCTTTGGTGCTGCACAGAGCAGATGTGGCCTGACCACTTACAAAAGCAAACTGGAGAAATGAAAATTAGGATTACCCTCAGCCAGATCAAATAAACCTTTGTCAGAGCCACCCAGTCAAGGCAATTTTGTTTTGTTTTGTTTTGTTTTGTTTTGTTGTTTGTTTGTTTTTTCCAGAAGACCATATGGTCATCCTGGGAGCAGAGGGTCTCTCCCCAAAGGTCAGGACATGCCACTGTACACAGCTTGGCTGCTTAGAGGAGAAAGCACTGAGGTTCAAGAAAGTTCTTGAAATGTGAGATTAAGTCTAGAAAGCTTTTGGGCTTCTGGATGCTCCCAGTAGGTTGATGAATAAATATGACAAAGCATAAAAGAAATAAAAGACCAGAAAATGAAATCTTAAAGAAATCTCTGACTTTCTACGCAGTGCCTGTCAGAAAAGGTCGTCTGTTTTACAAGCCAGAGAATGCAAAACGAGAACGTCTGTAACTATTTGTAAATAGTGTCAAATTTATGTAGCTGATTCAACATGAGGAAAAAATAACCTTGGAAAAGAGTTGCAAAACACTCTGAGTTATTTTTGACATTTTAATAACTTTAAAATGTTATTCCATTTAAAATTTGATCTAAATTTGCATTAGAAATATTTTGCAAGTAAACAAAGGACATCAAATTGAAATAAAACATTTCATTTGAGTTCAAACAAAATGTTTATTTGGATCCAAAATACTATCTTCATTTCAGCTGGAGAATCAAAAAACATTTGGTTTTTATAGCTTTCACTATATAATTTTCTGTGTTTCTTTTCTGCCTCATTTCTCATACTTTCTAAAAAAAAACCCACTCATATAATTTTTCCTTTAGTGACATATAAGCTTTTGATGTTGTCATAAAGTGCCATCCTCTTTTTAAAATGTTAATTTCAGTAATTGGTTGTCGTTGTTATTAATAGTAGTAGTAGTATTGTTACTATTATTATTGCTATTATGTAGGGTCCTTCCGATGTAACAATGTCATTTGCTTTTCACTAGTCTCCTTCTTCCTGTTCTCTAAAACTTGATATTTATTTAAAACATACTTCCTCCTCTTAAACCACATATTTGTTTTTAATATTTAAAATAAAAATGACTGAAAGCTAACAACAGCAGTGAAATTTTCCAATAGCTCTGTTTTGGGGATTTTTTTCAAAATATTCATTGAATTGTTTGTAAATTCAGAAAACTATTAATAGCTGTACATAACAATTGAAGTAAAAAGGTTGAAGTTCATAAGAACTTTTTCACTATTTTTTAGCCCTAGTTATCTTTTTCTCCTGCTTTTTTTTTTTTTTTCTATATCTATTTTTTTCTTCCTTCTCTTTCCTTCTAGGTGTGAATCAGAAAGGTCTATCTGCAATTTAGATTTATTGGAATAGAGGTAAAAAAGAATAATAGCAACTTTTCACTGTCAGATTTGTACAAAGGATTCAGTGCAAGTGAAAGCCAAGTTCTTTCCCATTTATCTCTTATTCTTTTTTATCTCTACTCACTTTCTCTCTTTCAGTCCATTTCATCCCTCTTCCTTGTCTTCCTTCATGCTTTTTTTTTTCACCTTCTATCCCTAGTTTTAGTTTTCTTAACCAATCCTTACACATCCCTACTTATTATCTAGGGACCTATTCAGCTACAGAAGTCTTGAACATTAAGTGTGAGAAAGTGAAAGAGAGAGAGACAGTTGCAATGAGCACGATGATAGATGATTTTCAACAATATTTTACTTGAAGTGTTTTAATATTTTCAGCCAGAAATGTTCCCATCTTTTTAATAGGTTAAAAAATAATCCCTACAGTGTTGGTGTTGGTGGTTTGTATAACTATTGTTACAGAAGCCAGCCAGAGGGTGGAAATAAATTTTTAAATGAGAAGAAAATTTTCTTTAATTTCTGACTCTTTCCTGTTTCCCATTTGCTTTGAATTTTATCATTTCTTCTCCTTTCGCATCCTTCTCTTCTCTTAGGCTACTTCCCCCACTTTTTATGGTTTTGTTTGTTTGTTTGTTTGTTTGTTTTGTGTAGTTAATTCACACATACCTTTAGTGGTAAGGCTTATTATGTATTTCAGTAACTGAATTCAAACAAGGACCATAAGAATGAAGTTGAGATACTTGGTACCTATCTTAACTCCAGAAAACCATGGAAGAAATTAAACAAGAGAATGTGTGGGAAATGTGTCAGCACAGCTGCCTATAAAACCACTCAGCATTTCAGGATGCTGCTGTACAACACCACTGTTTGTGGGGTCATGACAAAGGCTTGTCTTGTTGTTGTGATGGCTCACATGAAGGTGCTGTGGAAATTGTTGATTGCCATGAAGACCTTTTTGCCCCCCTTTTGCCCTCTTTTTGCAAAGCTGGATCATGTTCCTATTCCTCTAGGCTGTAGGCTTGCTGGACACAGCTGGGGCAGATAGGATAGGACAGGGCTCTGCAATACCCTGTCCTAGCGTGAGAGAAGGTGAGCATCACCCAGGAGTTACTGAAGGAGTAACCTTTCGCTGACCAGATCTGCACATGGACCCACATCATTTCAATTCCCATGTCAAGTTCATACTTTGGGAAGAACCATATACACACAAAAACCTCCTGTGCACTGCAGCACCAGAAAATGGAGACGGGAGATACAGCATAGCAATATCTGTGTTACAAACCAAATCAGAAAGTGCTGAAATATGTCTTATAAATGCACTTCTTTGGGAACAGAATCTGCAGAATTGATTCTTTGAAAAAAGATTCAGACATATGCTTCCTCCTCTGCTAACTGCCCTGAGAAACAAAGCATCAGATGTCAGCAGAAAGTTAATATATAGTGTTGGGAAACCTTAGAGGAAGGTTGTCGAACAAATTCCTTAAGGATTTTGACCTTATATGAGCTTGTATAATGTTACAGGAGGAAAATGAAAAAATAAATAAAAAGAAAAAAAAAAAGAAAATAAAAATCAAGGGAAAGATAGTGAAACAACTAATATCTGTCCAAAAGGAAAGAGAAAAGTCAATATTCTAGATTTTTGTATATGTGTATATATATATATTTATTTATTTATTGCTTGAAATTTGTTTCAAGAAATGGAATCTTAACTTTTTCTCTAGATATCCTCTTATGAACATACTGGAAGGAGACTGAGAGAATTACTGACCCCATGACCCTTCTTTTAAATTTTGTATTTGAATGTTTTAGTGAGGTATTTGACTGTTTTTGTCCTTTGTAGTTTCTGGTCAAAAGCTGTTTTACAAATTGCACACAAACAAGAAACACATTACCATCTTGCAGTGACCATGACCATGAAATTAGGTACACAGCACACACCCTTTAAAATGTTTGTTTTCAAAGTTTCTTCATTAGATTTAAGGGTTTTTACTACCCTGGCTGTACAAATCTAGGGACTTCACATTCCATAGCTGTTGCTCAAACTGTTCTAGTGAATCCCTTCTTCACAACCTTATTTCAAAACACCTTTTTTAAAACTGAAGTCTAGATTCTTCAGCTGTAACTCTTTCATGGGTCCAGTTTTGCACATCACATAGGCTGACTCTGCTCACAGAGATGGACTCAGCCCAAGTTCAGCCTGGAACAACCACAGAAGTCTGAAGAATATCATCTTTATTCCTGTTTTATGTAGACAGTTTATAAATACAGATGCTGTGTGTATTCTCTGAACTCTCTGCAGTCAGATGAGAGTCAGATTTGGATTTTGTTTGTTTGTTTTCAAGAACTTACCAAGTCAGACTGTTCTTTTCCCTGAAATGTATTTGTCCTGTACATGAAAGGAACTGGGGAGAGGAGAAGATGGCTGGCATATTCTGAACTACTATATATTGCAGAACAGGCTTCCAGTTGTCAGCGTCTGCACCCTGTAGAAGTATGGTTTCAATTTTACTTTTGAAATCTGAGTCGAGCAATGTTGCCAACACATATTTTTCCCTGTCAAAACATTTCACTTATTCCTGAGTCTGTAGACAGCTTTTAGGTTACATCTTTCCCCAGTCTTATTGAAACAGGATCTTCATTTCTTTTGAAATCATTTTTCATTAGTGTGGGAGCAAAAAGCAGATACTAGAGCTGATAAGTGGCAGCACCTGGCTTAAAGATGTTCCATCAGCTTTTAGTTTCTGTGTGATCACTTCCGATAATTGGAGGATGAAAACCAAAGCAGCAGTCACATTCAAATCAGAATAGGTGAAGACATTATCTTTTTTCTTCCTCTGCGTGTTTAATGCTGCTGTGCTCCATCTTGTTCCACTGAGCTGATAGAATATGCAAAAAGCAGACCTCAAGGTTCACGAGCTACCTCAGCAAAATATTTTTTGAGTAATTTGGTCATGATAAGAATTGGGTCACCGATTAATTAGGCATAACTTATTTTAAAAGGCATATAACTTTTGTATTTGTGAATGAATTGTAAACTTATTCCCATATTTGTAGTTACAATGATTATTTTTAAACACACATCTCAATCAGAGATTTGTGCTTCTTCCAACCCCTACAATTCTGTGATTCTATGTGATTTTTTTCTGCTATTTACTGGCTATTGTTCATAGCATGTGTCCAAGTCGTATGAACTACACTGTGTGATTCCTGTTTCCTAACTGGATGCCTGGCAAGGCAATGAATAATTGTTGGACCCTAAACACACAATGTAATTTAATAAATAAATCAGACTAGATTAGATTATTTATTTTTGAACTAGTATATGTTGTGGGAACAATATGACTGAGGATTTTTAACCTTTAACAACAAATAACACTTCTATTAACAGGAATAAAATAGGATTTGTTGCATTAAAGCACAAAAAATATTCAGAATCACTTTTTGTATTGTTTACCAGCTGCATTTATTGTTTCATTCATGTTTTGGATAACAGGCATCCATAGTTCAAATACCAAGCTCCCTAACCATTTGCCTACCACCAGATAGGAGGAATAGATCTGAGCAGTATAGAAGGAAGATGACACACTTCAAATCTTCATCTTTTATTTCTAGCCCAGTTCTCTAACAAGATGAAGCTCAACAGCTGTACTGTTTGCAAGTCTGTGCATCAGTGACAGATTAACAAACCTATGTAGATTGTGGGTGGCATGAGAGCCCAAAAGCACATGTACACCTTTCTCCTTCTCCAAGGAATGATCAGCACTCCCTTAAACTTTTCCCACTCACATGTGTCTAGCTCTATCTTAAAGACTTTCTGTGATGATAATTTGTCCAAACAAATGCTCCATTTTCCTTAGCATTTAAAAGCTCTCATGTTACACAAACGGAACCTTCCTTACTGTGATTTTAACCTATTGTTTTCTGTCCTGCCCAACAGAGTTTGAATGTAATTTCATTTTGTTCCTTTTTGCTTTTTACCCTTTTGACATCGGATATCACATCCACCCTCAAGGCTTTCTATATTCAAATACCACTGCCTATTCAGACTTTCCTTGGAGGTTGCATTGTAAAGACTCTGAGCCTTCTTTTTGTTTTTCTCTGTATTTTTCTCAAATGTTCCATATTTATCTAGAGGTAGAGAATGTATTTCAAGCTAACAGACAATATTCCTGTTTATCCACTCTAATATATATGTCTTTCTGAATAGTAAGGCATTGTTTAACTTGTCATCAACACTAATATACACATCTGCTTTTGCTAGCTAGTTAGGTATCTATATTTCAGCCTATCTTTGGACAACTGATTATTCTGTACTAAATGTAGTGTTTTTCACCTGTTCCCACTGAATCTTCAGTGAGCTACTAACTTTTAAACCTGTTGGCCAGTTTCACTTGAATGAACTTCAGCTGGCAGAGCTCAGCTGTCACAAAGTAATTTCTTACTGTTTTTGTGAAAATAGTCAGCTACAGGGAGGAAGGTTTACCTGTGGAGGGGAATGTGTGAGCTTGATGTTTCATAAATGATAGACAACCAAGTTCAACAACTCTAAGGGAAACACAACTTCATAGAAATATTTGTTTTAAGACTACAGAGATGTAAGATTACCATGTCCTTATGTTCTTGTGTCATGTAACTACTGTAGGGTATTTTCTCATCGTATATCCATCAGCCATAAGAGAACTTACCAAAGACTTCATGATCCTGGTCCTGTATTGGTTGCTGAGCCCTTTTGGGGGTGATACAGACTCCTGGGATTCAATCCAGAGGTTTCACATTCAGTAGTTGCTGTTAATCATTCAGCCTTTGTTTGTGGGCTGCAAAACAATGGCAAGTCCAGGACAGTCTGGTTAGAGGAAAATGTTTTCTGAATAGGCTAATTTCTTTAAAAGTCATTGAAGGTACGTGCTTTGAAAGGCTACATCTTTAACAGTGGTATAAAAGTACTAAATCCTCAGCTGCATCCATGTTACCAACAGTCTTTTCATGGTGTTGCAGTATCATGAAAGCTCATTATCTATTGAACTTCTGAATGAATAAAATACAGAATTTCTCCATACTGCAACCATAGTAGACAATAATTTTTACTCCACAGTATTCTGGTTTATGAGAGAAAAAAATGGTACCTACAGCTATGAGAAAGGAGATAGGCAATTTTTTTTTGTGTATAAACATTCTTATAATGTAGACAGTATGATATTTACCATATTGAAAGTGAAGTGAAGACAGAAAGAGGATCAGATGAAATATGAATTAAACAGGGAAAGTAAAAATATAATTGTGTATGATCACTACTCCCATAAGTTATTAAACCACAGCGGAAATGCAAAAATGAAGACAGCAATTCAAAAGATAGAGTCAAATATCATAGTGTCCTATGATGACAGCTGTCAGAAGATTGTATAATCAATAAGATTGCCTTTTCATAACCATCACTGAATTTATTTAAGAGAAAATTATATAAAAGAATATTACTGGAATATGAGTATGAAAATATCTTTCCCCCTGTTGAAAAATAATGCTGATGAAAAGTAAAACACTTTTATTTGGAGGGATGTTTGGTTTTTTTTGTTTGTTTGTTTGTTTTGCTGAGAAACTAAACACTGAAATTAGTAGGTATCATGTCTGGGGGTTTACTTTTTAGGGTATCAAGAATTGCAGAGGTTTCTGAGAGAAGTTACAGACCACTTAAAATTATTGAACATATAAGAAGAAAAATATAAGTCAGCTGCAATAAAAGAAAGCTGAAGGAAAAATTCACTGACATATGATAGGAAGTTGAAGTATATGATTTAGGGATTTTAGCTCTCTTTCTTCTGTTTGGAATGAGAAGTTTTATCCCATGAGAATGTACAGAAAACAGAAGTGAACTGGATGAAAATTTTCTACTCCATATTTTCTTTGACAGAAAGATACAATTTTGATTGAACAGATTCTTTTTTTCTTGTAAAGTGTCTACCTTCATTTTAAATGCAACTTCCTTTTGTCTCAAAACATAAATTCATTACTCTCTCCATTTTATAGCATAAAAATGAAGCAAGTAATCTATTTTTTTTTTATTTTTTTTTATTTTTTTGATGAAGAATCAAAACATCAAGCCAATCTTCTACAGCTACAATTTAAATTTTGTCTGTGGTTTTCAGCTGAAGTAGGTAGTCTTACACTATTAAACTTCAGGAACATATCCCAAATAACTTGAGAAAAATGCAGACAAATAGCACAATAGGACATAAGAGTATGAACAGAAGAAAACGAATGAAAGAAAGAGAAAAAGTTAAAGGAAAACTAATTTTGAAAAGCAAGTACACAGAAGAAATAAAAGCAATTAGCTTGCTATCTCAGCCTGGAGAAGAGGAGGCTCAGGGGTGACCTTATCGTTCTCTACAGATACCTTAAAGGAGGCTGTAGTGAGGTGGGGGTTGGCCTGTTTTCCCACGTGCCTGGTGACAGGACGAGGGGGAATGGGCTAAAGTTGCGCCAGGGGAGTTTTAGGTTAGATGTTAGGAAGAACTTCTTTACTGAAAGGATTGTTAGGCACTGGAACAGGCTGCCTAGGGAGGTGGTGGAGTCACCATCCCTGGAAGTCTTCAAAAGACATTTAGATGTAGAGCTTAGGGATATGGTTTAGTGGGGACTGTTAGTGTTAGGTCAGAGGTTGGACTCGATGATCTTGAGGTCTCTTCCAACCTAGAAGTTCTGTGATTCTGTGATTCTGTGATTAAGTTATGGAAATGTGAAAAAAAAACAAAACAAAAAAAAAAACAAACTGAAATTCTGGAACAATATCAGCAATACCATGGTCAAATATAAATGACAAAACTTTACCACATTCATTTATTCTAGCTGTGTCAAAAGTAACTTTTTACATTCGCTTTTCTACTCTGCTCAGTGTCCTTAACAAATGTCCTTGCAGAAATCCATTTGCAGACTTAATTGTGCTTCTGTCCGTCTGACTGTCATGGAGACTTCACAATATTAGTATTCAAAAAATAAAGCTAATTTTTAGAGAATGTTTTTCTTACCTTTACCATCCAAAGATGCTCACCCACCCTATGATTTCATTGTACCATATCACCCCACTTTTTAAAAAAATTATTTGAATGTAATGTGAATTGGTGGATGAAAGAGCTACACATAATGCACATATTGCATGGAGGTACTGATTGCACTGCATCCTTGGGAAGGTTCTTATTCTTCCCTAAGGCAGTGAAACAACTCTCTGTTACCTTTTCCTTGCAAGAAAGGTCCTGAATTGGGTCTGCCAAAGGGAACACAGACCCAGCACCCAACATTGATTCCTTATGTTCATCGGAAAATACTTAAACATGTCTCTGGGTGCAGGTTCTCTGGGGTATCTACACGTGTTGTTGTATCTGCAATAGCCTGTGTCCATAGGCAACATATGGAAATGCTGGCAACTATAGTCAAATTAATATGCTAAATATTAATATCTATATAAATATTAATAATATTAATAACATTATCATTATTAATATTAATATCATTAATTATATAACTAAGAAGCTATAACCCAATACCAGGTCAAATTCTGCTGTACAGAGATGATCTACTGTAACATAGATGATCTAAGATACATACTGTTCACTAGAGACAGTTGTTGACATATACAACAAAATCCTGTCTCTGCTGTTCTCTCTTCCTGAAACAGTGTTTCCTGGTTATGTGTTCATCATAGCTACCACCTATTCCCTTCCAATGTGAATAGATTTAGTGAGAAATGGTCACCTTTCAAACTAAGAGCATTGCCAGGGTTTCTTTCTCTATCTCCCGTCTAATTCTCTGAGAAGGAAATACACAGCCAAGTTGAGTGGCTTTTCTGTTTGAGATGGCATTTGTGCACATGTAAAAAGTATTTTCAAGCATTATGTTTCTTCACCTTGCACATCATAAAAATGTAAGTGTATAATAGTATATTCTGTTTCTATAGATACTATACATGGTACATTAAGAATACATAAGAGAGACTTTGTAAGAAATGTTTGTACCAAATGACCCTCCTGCTTGCCTACACTTTCTATCCATTGCAGGTGTGCTTTGCAAACAACCAGTTTCTAACTAGGCCTTCTGGCCAAACTACTAGGGTGTTTGTTGTTGTTGCTGTTTTTTGTTTGTTTTATTCTGCCATCTGTGACAAAACAGAATGTATGATGTTATCTACCTCATCCTACTCTTCCAAACAGAGACAACTCTATAAATTTCTGTATCTTTTTCATAAAAATCATCCACTGATGAATACTTACTAATTGCAATTAATTCCAATGCACCATTACTTTTGCCAATGCATAATTTCAGTCATTCTTGCTGCAATGTCCTTTTTACCATGGACAGGAAGTTCATATTCTTACTTTTTCCATCAGTACTTGAAGATTTTGATCCTAGTGTTCACCCTTCCCCCACACTTCCTTTTTTATTCCTTTGTTTGTTTGTTTGTTTTCAGGATGTTCACCACCTAAAGATCATCCTGTGACTAACTTCAATTTTATTGTGTATATAGCTCATCAGTATGTTGTAGACTTAAGAAGAAAAGCTGAACAAATCCCAACATAGTCAGAACACTTTCTCTTGCCCTTGGGCTGGAGATATGCCAGGACAATGCCTTTTATTGAATAACTGTAATATAAAATGTATCAGGTCTTTTGAACTGACTGACATGTAGAATTTACCAAAATGGAAACCATATGTTTGTAAAAATTTAAAACGCAGAGGTGGTTGCACTAGTGCTATGCTCACATCTGGAAGCAGCCACCTCTCACAGAGGCATCTTCGTAAATCTTTCATGGGGGCACCATCCTAAAATTGATTTTGCCTGGGCTAAAATACAATCAGATGCTCTGAAAAGCACATGACTAATGTAGGAACTTAATATGAAGAATAGACTGAGACAACAACAAAAAGACAGGCATCAAATAGGGGGGGGGAGGGAGAGGAAGGAAGGAAAACAAGTTGTGTCATTTGAGTAAAGAGTGTGTATGGATGGATTTTCTGTTTTTCCTTTTCCTCATGAACTCATTGCCAGAATAGTATAATTGTCATTTAGTTTGTCTTCGCCCAGTGTGAAGTTGTTTACTGAGAGTCAACAGATTAAAATGTACTTTCCTACTCCAAAGAACTGTTTCTTGTGTGTATTCAAAACCATGTCTTCTTTATCAAACGGGATATGTTTGTGCTACTTTTTCAGCCCTTTAGAGCCAGTCGAGCTGTGGAACCATGAGCAGTACTGTGCTTTGGTTAAATAAAGTCTACAAAATTATTAGCCATGTCCCAACTTCACAAACTTTACTGCTGGTAGCACAGAAGAACTGTGGCTTGGCATCCGTGGTCCAGGGGGATATGGATACATTTAAGGAGCAGTGCTTCTGTGAGGCATGTAGCACAGAAGGGTGATTCATTTCTGTGACTGCCAGAATAGGAAATTCTTCAACATTGAGGTTGAACTGGAGTTAAAATTTCCTGGTCTTCACCAAAGTATTCTCTGGGGCTCTGATTTTGCAAATGGCGCTTAGGTATGTGAGAACATAGAGCAAAGAACATGTTATGTATTTCTTTCTGAGTCTTGGTTAGTTTTCTGAAGAGATTCCTGGAGTGGAGGTATCAGCAGGAAGTAAACGCCATATGGATTTCAGCTCTGAAAAGGAAAAATGGGTATATCAAATTCTGTAATATGGAATAGATCCCATATTTTTATAAGGAGTGCTGACAAAGTTGAAGAAGTAAGCAGCAGGTCAGGAAAAGGTTATCCATGCCCTTGACTAGATGTCCCTCAGAAACATAACCGTCTCATTACACAAGTGGGAATCAGCACTACTGCCAAAATTTCAGCTTCAGAGAGAGAATCTGAGTGAAGCAAGTTCTAGTAGCATCACACGGCACTTCACAAACTTGAAGGTAGCTCTCTAAGTAGCAAAAGAGCTTTAGCTTTTCTGCTTTCTCAGCTGTTGAAGACAGATTCCTGCCAACAGGGCTAGCAGTTGGGAAATCATAAAAAAAATATATATATTAAAAAAAAAAAAAAAAGTAATGTGCTCCTTTCAAACAGGTGCACTATGCCCGCAGCAAAGAGAAAGACACATGAGAAGAAGCATTTGCACAAGGAGGCATTAGAATAAAAAAAAAAGGCCTGAGCTACAGAGACTGAAATATCTTTACAAAATGGCAGGCAGCCAGAGAGCTGGAGGGTGGGGGGATGACTGCTTTTTCTTATTTTTTAACATTTTTGATTGAAGACACTTGATTCTGATTTCAGCTACGTGGTTACATATTGATGCTTAAAATGTGAAATCAGCTGTTATTCAGAAGCTGATTTAACAAGCTAGGCAGGAATATCTGCCAGCAGAGCTAAGTTCAGAAATCAGGCACAGGTTTTCTGCCAAAAGAGTTGCAAACCAAGAAACCATAACAAAATACATCCACACCAGCCAGCATATGTTGCTGCAGACCAGACCTCCATTAAAAATATTTTCTCAAAATATAACAGGAGTATTTAGGTACATTTTAAAAGTTTTAATTTAGTTTAAGAGAACACAGTTTGTATTCTAGTTTACAGACACTACAATGTTTTTGGTGGATGCCCCTATTGCTGCCCTTATGTGCAACTGAAATTCATTATGCCTACAGAATTCTAAACCAAAACAAAGCTGCATGTATATGTACAGGAACAAGCAGATACTTCTGTCAAAGGATTTGGCCTTTGCCATAACACCCATGAGTTTACGGGGTGTACATGCAACCATCTGTACCTTTCCCCGAAGAGCTTATCTGTGTGATCCTTCAAAAAATTAAGCCTATTCTTTGAGTTACACAGATACATATTTTTCACTCATATGTAATAGGTGTTTAGAAAATAAAAGCTGTTATTCTCAGTTCCTGTCTCTCAAACAATTTAACATTTTCAAAGAAAATATATACTTTATAAGTGAATCCAAGATCCCTCTAACTAAATATGTTCCATTTTTCTCACATCTTGAGAATTTTATTCTGCTTCTTCATTGACAAGCATAATGGAAAAAGTGGCACAGCAAGAGCTCTGCTTATTATTTGCTTTGATAGACATAACTGGGAGGGGATGATCTGAGCTCCAAGCATTTGAGGTAGCCATTTTAAAAGGCAATATTTACAGAGTGGCTCTCTCAGACAGAGAAAAGACTTTCAATATAAAATTCCTAATGTTCTTTTCATTCATTCCAGTTTATTTTTACTGAGGGTTTATTTGGCAATGTAAAATAAATAAATAAAGTCACACAGTTGCAATTTTTAGGTTAGAAATTTTATGTCTGTTCTCATTGCCTATAGTTTCAAATTCTTCAAATTTTCTGACAATGCACATGAAGGTTTCTCACACAGAATCAAATCTTTTTGTCATAATCTCATTGCCATAATATCATCATCTTTGGCAATCATGTCTGACAGTTCATGAAAATGCAGATTGCCTTCAAAACCTACAAACAAGGAGCCCTGAGATGTCAGAGCATCCTTAGGGCAAGAAGTCAAACTACAAAGTTTATTGTTCTTCAAGTGGTCATATCCCTTTGGCATTTTTTCCCAGTCTTTCTCCTCTCCAAACTTTCACACACACTCAAGAAAAGAAAGATGACATATAGCAAAACAAACAGTAATATGCAGTATTTTTTTTTTTTAAATCATGCTTCTGGATTTAGATGCACTCAAGGTAGTTAACCAATTAAACTAACAATTTCCATAATTTCCATACCTTTTCTGACTCTCAGATGAGTTATTTTCCTCAGACTGGAGATTTTTTCACATTTTTTTTTTCATATCTTAGCCAAATATTTATAGGGAAAATAAATGAAAAATAAATAAATAAATAAATAATTGGGAGTTTCAAGAGTAAAAGAGAAGATTGGAGTATTTAAATTAAATTGCAGCTTTTAGGAATTATCTGTCTATATTGTTATTAGGTACTGTTAGGGAAGAGCAAGATAGAGCCCATAAGAAAACTAAGAACAATAATTGCCTGATATGGTCTACCCTGACCAGACAAGGATGATGCCAAGGAAGATAAGAATATGAAATCTGTAATGTATACAGCAACTGAAATATAGAAGTACACCTCAAACCTCACAGATTTCCCAATAGCTCTTAGTCTAAGGCTGAAGTGGATGAGCTGGAATAAAGATTCGCTTCTGTTACTGTTTTTCTACTTCCACAAGGGAAATATTTTATACTTTTTCCAAAAGTCAATCTTAACAAATGAACAAAGAAGGACACGTGATTTTTGTCTCTTGAAGATACATAAATGCTACTGACTAATAATTGTATACTGGGTCAATCACCAGCAATCTGTAAACACGGAAGTCACAAGAAGGTTCATTGGAACAGCTAAGATATCAGTATAAGAAATAATTCTGAGGCAGAATATATAAATTAAAATGTCACTGAGGATCAGAGATAGTAGTTACAGACAGGTATCTGATAAGAAACAAGATAATCCTTTCATCTGTCATCTAATTGACTACATTCTAGTGTATTAATTAAGTCTTCATTGATGAAGGTTAATGTTTTAGGGTGCTGTGTGTTTAGAGCAGCTGTTGTAATATTTGGTAAATAAAACACTGACCCTATGACTGATTCAAGTTTATTGTTCATTGGCACATTTGTGTTTCTTAGAGTTGAAGTTAAAACGATTAAACTGAGAGGCAGAGAATGAATGGGAAAAAAAAGGCCAAAGGAATGAAGATGAAAACACCAGACACAGATGAAAAACTACAATTATTTTAGTAATTAATTCACTATTAAAAACAAGCAAGCTGCTTACAGCAGCTTCCTTTCTCATGTCATATTTTTGCATTTTAGGAGGATTAATAAGAGGGTGTCAGGGGAAAAAAAAATGATAAGAAAATATGAAGTTAAGGCTACTGAGGTGATGAGATTAAAAAAAAATAAAAAATAGATCAATTATTATTAACCATTATATCATTGTGTATAATCATGCTACTTGTTCATGACTGGAAGACAACATAGCCTCCAGGGTCATCAACAAAAATGTAGTAATGAGATGAATTCCAATTGCCCATATATGTACATAAATCTTTGGGAGCTCCTTCTGAGTTACAGATTACAGTTACATGCCCAAAAACAAACAAACAAACAAAAGAAAACACCTTAATCCTGTGAAAATTATTTCTGTATTATAAGAAGGTACATTGAAGTCTATGTACATATCCTTACAGAAACAGGACCAAGATCACAGAGCCACCCAGCAGGAAGATCAGAATTGATCCAGTCTGATTCATCAGATCTTAAATTTTTTAGCATTAATCCTAATGCAAGCAGTAAGCCTTTCCATTCCTCTCAATTCTGTTATTATTGTGAACTTCATTCCTATAATGAAAATTAGTTTTGCAACCATAGTGATAATAAATAGTTAGAGACCAGATAACTAGAGACTCTCATAAGTATTTTCAACAACCTAACAACCTTTTTCTAAACTTGACTTCATCAGGTTCTTTCTGTTGTAATGATATATTAAGGGCAAAGTAAAGTGTTGAAATAACTCTTGCACCCATTTTCAGTTAACGATATTTGCAACTGTCCAGTTTAAGACTATTCCAGAAGACATGAAGATGGATCACTTTTCCATCTCAGTCTTTTCCTGAGAAAATAACAACCTCTCAGTATTTTCTTGGGAACTTCATTTCTGTTTAAGCAGTTCTAGGAAGAGATATACAGCACCTAACACATTCTGAGAGTAGTATAAATTGCCAGCATTTTGCTATACATGACAGAAATGAGAGGAGAGGAGAGGAGAGGAGAGGAGAGGAGAGGAGAGGAGAGGAGAGGAGAGGAGAGGAGAGGAGAGGAGAGGAGAGGAGAGGAGAGGAGAGGAGAGGAGAGGAGAGGAGAGGAGAGGAGAGGAGAGGAGAGGAGAGGAGAGGAGAGGAGAGGAGAGGAGAGGAGAGGAGAGGAGAGGAGAGGAACAGTTATTTCTATTTCATGGAAACTGAGTAGACTAAACTTTTATGGACCAAATGAGATTTTTGGATGAGACATGGAAACTAGTAATTTTAAATAATTTTTATTTATATATTCATATATTTATATTTTTATGTATTAGGCTGTCTTGTACAGTCTGTTGCTTCTATGTATACTTGTATTTGTATATGATAGAAACATCTCACAGACTCTTAAAAGCAGGCTATTTATACTGATAAAGTAAAGCTGATCAAGCAAACAGATTTGCTAGCTTTGAAGTGAGCCATTTTTATGTGATGAAGAATGAAATATGATTGCAAGTGAATCTCTGTAAGTAATGAAGAATAGATCTCAAAACTAATAATCAAATTAGTCAAGTAAGTTTTCCGAAGAATCATTTCTGAAAAGGGTAGGTTTAAAACAAAAATATGAGATAGAAATAGTCAGCAAAGAGGGGACTGAGAGATTTATTGAAAGAAATAAAAGAAAATAATAGTGTTTTAATTAGCTCATGGTACAAAAACAGACTGGATAATTTGTTCCATTTGGAAGTGGGTGAAATTTTGGAGATATAAAACCAACAGAACATTATAACTTTTAAATTTTTTAAGGCTAGCAAGTCTGTGAGCTGGCTAAGGAAAAATACCTTAGAAAACATCTAAATAGAGCTTTCAGCAAAAAAAAAAGGGTTACAGT